ATAGCACCTTATTATTCAAATAGAGTACTTCACTCTCAGACTGCTTACTTGTGGTTCCTAGGATATTTAAAAGTAGAACGGGAAGCAGAGTATTTTTTGGTTTTGTATTCGAAGTGTTATAAATAGCAGATATTCTATGAAGGCATCGATCTGGGAGGGGTCAGGTATAAGATGGACAGGACCACAGAATGGGGCACGTATACATGCATTTGTCTGGTTGTCATTGTGTGTTTAGTCTCAGTTGTAGCTGGTTGAGTGTGTGTCACTGTGGTTGTGGTCAGTCGTCTATACCAGCATGTGGAGCTTCTTCCCTATCTCAGAAGCCAGGAGAACAGTATACAGTATAACATAGTTAAGCAACCTCAGTGGCCATGTAAATATGTGCATACAAACTGTGAGCCGGTGCTGCCATATTTAGATGGAATGAAATTTGTTTTATGGTTACCAGAAAATCCAGCTTTCTTACACATGCATTAAGACTACAAAAGGTGGCTAGATAAATGAAGTGCTAAAAACTACAATTCCACTGATTACCCTGTGAGGATGTTTCCAGTTTTATCAAAGCAGACTTCTGATGTGCCTGGAAACTGCTGGAGTCACACTTCTAGTTTGGGGGTTTCAGTTCCTAATGCTTCTTTATCACCATTTTGGACTTGAACTTTCACATCTGCCCCAGCTGTTCTTTCAGGCCCTGATACTTCTCAGTTTTCTCGTGCTCCTTCCTTGTTTCATCCTGGATTCTGGCCCTGACACTAACTAATCTTTCCATTACTCACAGAGCCTCAGGGTTCTGGACATCAGATATAGTCCTCTGTGGATTGTGAGGGGTATTTGTGTCTTGAGATCAGTGGTATCTATGTTCTTCTGTGGCCAGCTTATTATTCTGCCTGGATATCTGACGACGAGTCAATGTATTGATGGCTTAGATATTATTCCTACCATTCAGTTGGTTTCTCAGCACCTGTCTTACCTTCTGTTGCTGACCTTTGTGGATTTTTATTATGATTGTCATTGTAACATGGAATGCCGTTGCACTTGTAACTTGTATGCCTGATATTCTGCCTTCTGGCAACTCGTCCCTTTCAGTTTGGATCATCCTGCCTCTCTTTGCAACATTCCACACACTCTCCTTATTAAGGAAAGCCAAAACATCATAAGCATTTATCAAAGGCTTGTGTAAAATTAGTCAAAGTCAGAGTTCAACATGTGGATTTTTAATGAATTCAAATCAGAGAATTCATCATGCATGCATTTTCCTGTTGCAGCACTTCTCAGCTGTCACTGTTTCTGCACTGTGGGGGCAGGTGGTCTCCCGGGTGTTGTGTTCCACATAGTAAATCCTTCTCATCTGGATGTACAATTACAAAGAAGGAAATAAGAAACTTATGACATGCAACCCGAATTCTGAAAAAGTTGGGACATTGTGTTAAACGTAAATAAAAACAAAATACATTGATTTTTGAATCTCACAATTTCACATATTTTATCCACAA